TATCTATCTATCTATCTATCTATCTATCTATCTATCTATCTATCTATCTATCTATCTATCTATCTATATTTATCATCTATATTTATCTAATCTAGATCTACTTACCTATATCTATATTTATCTATCATCTATAATCTATATTTATCTACCTATCATCTACCTATCTATTCGTCTATCATCTATATCACCTACCTACCTACATCTATCCATCCATCCATCCATCACCTATATATCTAATCTGTCTGTCTATATCTACTGTGTCTGTCTGTCTATCATACATACATCTATCAACCATTCATCTATCTATCAATCATTATCTATTTATTATCTACCTCCCTCCCTACCTCTTTCTCTACCTATTTATCTCCAGAGGGTTCCTATTGCCATCCTTCTGTTAAGCTTGGAAACAAAATGTTGTGAGTGGATTCTTTGATCCACCAAGGAGTCTTGAGCAGGATAGCAGCCAGCTGGGGAAATGTTTCCCGCGAGGTCTCTTCGCTAATGGAACGAGAGACGCTGCCAATTTCTTCCATCTTTTCGGCTCTGCGGCTAAATCCAGCCGATGGGAATTTCTAACAGGGCCCAGCAAAAAGCCACTTTCTTTTCACAGTCACCCCGAGCTCCTTAAACCGACGTTTCTCTTTGCTTTTAGTTTCTCCGAAATGTGATTTTGCAACGACATTTCTATTCGCAACAAAAGCTGCGTTTTATTCCTATTGGCAGCAAAACATGTTTTCACTTAATAAATGGGAGCTGTCCCCTCCTCCCCTTCCTATTAGCCCTACTTTTAGCCACCTAACTGCTACAGTAATAATTCCCCCCCCCCAAAAAAAGGCTAACTTGAGAACAATCAACACAGAAGTGAAAAAAAGCAAAATATTTTAAACTTTACTCAATTTGGCTGCGTTTACGCGTCTCTTTTAAAACAGCAAAGAAGGAAATTATTAACACGAATTAGTGAAGCCTCGTTGGAGATGCGACTTTTTCATTCCCATTTCCCCTCCTCCAAACTGTATTTTTTTTTTAGCCAAACTTAACTTTTGCTCACGGAAACCCAGAATTAAGAAAATTGGTTTTTTTTAAAATTAAAACCTTCTTTCCATTCGGTCGCTGGATTATTTGGGAGCTGGGATATGCCGCCGGCTCAGTCATCCCCATGAATTATTCACACGAGGGAAGGGTGTAGGAAAAGCCATGTGAATTTATAATAAATGTTTATTTTGTTTTGGAGATTTTGCTTAATGTAATCCTGGATCTAAAAAACATCAGCGCCCTCTGGTGGACTAGCAAGCTCCCTGCATGCCTCATGGAGCCCAGTATTTTTTAACTAGATTTGTGAAAGGTTTTGGCAATGCATTCGTGCAACCTGGTTTAACTAAGGTCAACCTAGATTACTCGGGTGAGAGAGGTGTGCCTTCCTATTAACAACCGAGCCTGTTGTGTTACTTTACAGCGGAAGGGCAAAAAAACTGATTGAAGTCAAGTCATCAGCTGTTTGAACATTGAGAAAAAAGAATTTTCTAAATGTTCATTTTGTTAACATGTAATTTAATCAAGATAATAACAATGAAATGATAACCTTAATTAGTAAAATAAACTGGATATTAATTGCAATTTGGGGATTAGGGAAAAGACCTATACATCTTATTGATAAATTTCTGTTGAGAGCTGGTTATAAAGGTATAATCTCTTTTGGGCCTGAACAGAGGAGAGGTGAGATAAATAGTAAACAATTTTTAATTAACTACAATAATAATAAGGAAATGTTGATGGATAATATTTAATGATATATATATATATACAGGTTTCAGGTTTCAGGTTTCAGGTTTATTGGGATTTATAG